ATGTCTCTGCCATACAGGTACCTCCTGAGGTGCCAGGGGTCTGAGCACTACACCAAGTCCCCAGCCCAGGGTCCTAGTGTTGGGAAGAAAAGTCCCCCTAACTTCTGGTTATAAAAAACAGTGAGGGACGAGGCTGAGGGAGACAGAGGCTGCAGGAGTCCCAAGCAGTTCCTCCTAAAGAGTCCACATATGGACTAACTCGGACTCACTCCTCAGAGCGCCAGCATGGGGCAGCTACTTGAAAGGCACCTGAGGCATACAGGGAGGAAATGAATGGTCTGGCATCATAGCAAGAGCTGGATGGGCAGCGTTCTTCCAGACAGAAGTACTGATAAAGGCCATTGTTCCTTTGCTGAACCCAACCCCAAAGAGCCAGCAGGTGGCCACCATATCTGAGTCTCCATCAACCTGGAATAACACTGTTAGCCCCACCCTGGTGATTCCCGGAGGCCCTGTCTGCACCAGCTGTTTCTAGTGGCTTACCATCAGAATGGCCTGTTTTGGCTCATGCTTCATATTTTCCTAAAATCTCTCAAATAAGCAGCAACTGGCCTAGTACCTGTTGCTAAGTGACCCTGGGCCCGGCACTAGCCACAGCCAGCCTTGGTTTGTAGCTTGGCTTCTCCTAGGCACCTCCAAGCTCAACACAAGTAGCAGCCATCAGCAGATCATTTTGTAGCTCATGCTGGGTGGCCCTGGGGCAGAACAAAGGCAGTGGCTGACCTTGGCCTGAATCTCCCAGGAGTCCCCAGAGCCAGTGCACCCAGTGGACAGCTTCAGACCATGTCAATGCATCACCACCCCACCACCTCCACATGCGACATACTCATGGGGTGGACTCAGCAGGTACCAGAGCCCCGTTGAAGCAAATCCTGTTCTGTGAGGTGGGTCGCTGCATAGCTGATCCTCCATGGTGATCTCAGTCAGACCTTGCAGCTGATTGGCCCTGCAACATTCCTTGGCAAAAGTGCTGTCTCGCTGAGCATTTCTCTCTACGGTTTTGGTTTATGTCTGAGACAGCCCAGCAATCAGCACCCATTTCCTAACACTACCAGGTTGTTTGCCGGCCATCTGTGTAGTCATTAACCAGTGTCAATAGGATACATCAGCTTCAGGTTTAGGCAGTGTAACTACTCAATGCTTATATGCACTTTAAGCTTCAATTCCCTCATTCCCCCTCCCCCCCCACCTTGGAGTACTTTACATTTTCTTGCTAATGGTATACTTTGTTTTCTCGGACAGAACAGTTTTACAGCAGCCAGAGATCCTAGATGTGGAGAGACAAGGCAGGAGGGGAGGGAAGGACCTTTCCTAAACATTTGCTTTAAATGATGTATCCAGGTATACAGGGCCCCTTATTTTATGTGATTTTGATTAGAATAAAACTCACTTTTAAAGCTGATCCCCGATTTCGGAGTACGAGCACCAAACATCGGAGCAGAAGCACCACCCATCCGAGCAGAACTAGCACACATCTGAACACGAGCTCCACTCGGCATACCAGGAGAACACAGCATCATCGGCTGAGCAAATAGCATTGGACTTGGAATGTCACTGCGAGTCAGGGGTCCCTGAACCGGCTTGTTGAGATCCTTGTTGATGGCAATGAAAGCCGTGTGGGAGCTTATGACGCCGCACTCCATGCTTATTTTCACCACCTCTTTTTTATCATTGGCTGGAGTCTCCTCGAAGCCCACGTCCTTGGTCTGGATGAAGGACTTGGCAGCCAGGCGGTGAATGGTGAGGCTAACAGAAAAAAGATTCCCATGACTCAGGCAGAAGTACACCTGTGCCGCCACTCAGAGCCCTGACAGGCTGGGGATGGTGCAGGGAGGAACATAAGATCGGGGGGAGATGAAATCTGAGTGGCCGGAAAAGGAAAAGTGATTTTAGGGAAATCATTGAGCACAAAATGAAGAGCAGGAAACTGACCCCCTATGGATGGTAGAGACAAGAAAGGAAGGGGAGGGAAGGGGAGGGAAGGGGAAGGAGAGGAACCAAAGGAGAGGAGAGAGGAGAAGAGGAGAGGAAAAGGAGAAAGGAAGGAACTAGGAAAGAAAAATGGAAATCTTACTTGGCATCCGACTTGGGCTGTAGAGAAAATGCCACTTGATTCTCAAACTGCGTGCCCTGGAGGGTGTACTTGAGGCAAACTTTCCCTGTTGCCTCTGCTGGCTAAAAGTACAGAAGAGGAGACAGGATGGGAGGGAGAGATCACCCAGGGAGAGATGGCAGAATCGGGGCAGCTCTCCAACCCACACATTGAAAGTTTCTGGCTAGAAACCAGGTAATTCAGAAAACCAGAGGCTTGACATGATGGCCAGGGGAGGGAGGCTGACCCTGTCGGGCAAGTGTCCGGGGCAGAGCTCGGGGCAGCGGCGCCTCTGGCTAGAGCAGCCGTGGGCAAACTACGGCCCATTGGAAATGAATAAAACTATT